TTTATCATAGAAATGAAATGATGTTGTTCAAATACTGAAGATTTTTCTTTTTTTAGTTTGATTTAAATTCTTTATAGTAAAATCTTTCCGGATTTTTTTTTCGGACCAGCATCGAAAGTTTTTCATCTAACAACAACAACAACAATGATTGAAATTTTCGATTATCTTCGAAATTTCGTCCTACTTTTATCCAAAAAATTTTTTGTTCTTGTCCTTGTTCTTGTGTTTAATGATTTACATTATAATTTTAATAACATTCATAATGAATTCAATCATTATTATTTTTTCATTTGATTAATACTTAACCGTTACAAACGGTTATTTTTACAACAATAATAATGATAATAATAATAATCGAAAGATAACGGGGAAAAAAATAGATTTTTTTTATTTGATATCCACCAATCATCCATGAAATACATTCCCTCATCTCTATCTCTTTCTGTTCTGGCTATTTGACTTTTGTTAAATAGTTTACTATCAATTCTTTGTGTATGTCTGGTTGGTAAAAAATGTGCTTTGTGATTGAATTCATTCACTTCATGAATTCGTGACAATCATTAAATAAATGTTTTTTTTTATCTGTGAAAAAATATTTTCCTCACAAGTATTTGATACCTATTTTGGTGTTTCCAGACAAAACTCTGGACAAACCGAATAAGAGTGAACACAGAAAAAAAAACAAAGTATGAAGAAAAAATGAAAACGAATGAATAGGAAAAATGTTCAATAATGATGAAGAACATTTCAAAGAATTACACACACACACACACATTGAATGATCCTATGAAAATATAGATGGTATCCAATTTATCTTTTTTTTCTTTCGCAATAGTTGACAATCAGTGAATTTTACTTTCGATAAAAAAAGAAAAAGGAAAAAGTTAACGATGCAATCATTAATGTTATGTGTCTATGGTGAATTTGTATTGCCAGTCTGCTATGTACACTACTTTTTTTTTTGATCAAATAAAAACAAAACCGACAGAGACCATTCAATGATAAAATTTTTTTTAGAGAAAATCAATTTTCAAAAAGAATTTTTCATTTCGCTTTTTCATTCATACATTCTTATTATTATCATTTAATCCTTTATTTCCTGCCATCCATCTATTTATCGTATTTTTTCAACCAAAAACAAGATTTTTTTTTCACTATTTTTTTCTATTACATTTTGCGAATGAATAATTTTCAATCATTTCAATTTTTCAAACGGTTAACGATCTAAACTCAATCTAAATGTATGCGAGAATACAGCTAGAATACTCATCTTTTATTCAAATGTATGTTTACAACTAAAATAGCTGAATGAATGAATAAATGAATGAATTAATGAATAAATAGATGATCAACCAGATGAGAGTGAAAAAAAACCCGAAAATTCTTTTTAACAATGTTTAACAATCAAATTGAAAAAAAAAGAGAATCATCAGAATCGATAAAGATGAAAAGCATCAGTAGCAGCAAATAAAAAATGAACATCATCTTCAAAATGAAATGGCAATTGCTAATAATTGAAAACCTTTTGAACAAAAAAAAAATTCATTCAATACAATTCAAGAATATACCACTGTATTCAAAACGACAGCTTAATTATTTCTTCTTTTTTGTTCAAAGAAAATTTTGATTCAACTTTTTTTTTCTATAGTTGTTTTGTTTTGGTTTAATCGTTACGTTTTTTAATTTTTCACTATATTTTTTTCTCCTGTAAATGAAAAATTCTTTTCATGTTTCTTAATAAATGACGTGCGTGTGTGTGTCTCTGTGTTTGCGTGTGCATCATTCTCTGGCTGTTATTCTTCAAAATTCTTAATTGAATTTTTTTTTCTTCTCCTTTTTCTTCTGCTTCCATCATTGATTCTGGTTTCGAACGGGGTTTTTCAAAACTTCTCTTCATTTCCATTCACTTTCTTTCTTTTCCATTCGATTCATTATTCTTTTCTTAGGTTTTTCTTTTTTTTTCCTTTTGCTTAATTATTACCATTATTTTCATTCAAACAATTTTCAGAATCTGACAATCAAAATAACAACAACAAAATAAAATAATAATAATAATAACAATGTTTAATGAAATGAAAAATTACCCGAAATAATAAATGAAAACAAAAACCTTTTTCCCTTCTGGATGTTTATTGATTGATGATTGTGTGGGTTTCTGAGTCTACTGAATTGAATTGAATTTTCAATTTTCAATAATTCAAAATGAAAAAAAACAAATTTTTTCTTTTCTTTTTTTTTGTTTGGAAAATTGTAATTGGCCACCATTATCAACTATACTACCATTATCATTTTGAGAGAATGACTGCCACAATTGATGATGATGATTCTATAGAAATAAAACTTGTTATTTGCAATTCTCGTTTTTTGTTTCATGTTTTTTGACATTATCATCGTTGATGACATACAAAATTCTTTTTTTGCTTTCTTTCGTAGTTACACATTTGATTCTGTCTCTTTCTCTTGTGTGTGTGTTTGTTTGTACACAAAAAAAAATGTTTAATATTTGATTTTGGTTGATGACATTTACAATATTCATTTAGAGTTTTTTTTTCTTTCTTCTTTCTTTTTTACTATTATTATTCAATCATGTTATGCTCTGTTCATCATCATCATTCATGAATGACTACTATTTGCATTGCCGAACAGAAAAATATATATTATGACAATTATTTTATTTGAGAAACTTCAAAGTTTTATCTGACAATTGAATTGAATCAAAAACAACTAAATGAAACTCGATGTTGTTTCTTGATTGAACAAACTCTGTATTGAGAGGATTTTTTTTTTGTTCCCGTCCCCTCACACATTGAACATAATATTTTTGTCTTTGGAAAAAAAAATTTTTTGTTTGGAATCCCAGAAAACATTATCAGAATTATTATTATTATTTGTTCATGGTCATGATGATGATTGCAAAAATAAAATAATAAAGAATTTCTAGAATATTTTCCACTTATATAACATCAATGATTTGTGTGTACATAAATAATCAATCGTCTAGGATATTTGATGATTGAGAAAACAAATGAATGAATGAAAAAAAACATGGATTAATCTATTGGACCTTGAGATCAATTCATTTTTTTCATCATCATCATCAAAAGCTGAGTCCATGCTTTATTATTACGCTTATTATGACAACTTTTTTGCTTTGCCTGGTTCTTGCAAATAATTTTAGCTAATTTAGGCATTAGTTGTATAGATTATTAGCTATAGTTTAGCGAAGGATATAGTGATATGATGTGTGTGTGTGTGTTTGTGTTCCCAAATCAATTTATCCAACCAAATAAAAATAGATTGTGAATATAAAAACAAAGAAGTAAAAGAAAGATAAAGAGAGTGAGAGTGAGATAGGAAAAACCCTAAGAGAATGATAGAACGACAAAAAGAGCGTGAAAGCTCTTCAATCAACCCAAACAAAACCATTTCGAAAATCTTCAATGATGATGATGATGATGAATAAATGAAGGAATGAACGAATGAAAAGAAGAATCGAATTGAAGAACAAAAGAATCGAAACTTATTATTCCAATATACAATGTTTGTATGGTGTGTAATTGTGTATTGTATTGTATTGTTTTGTATGGAATTGGATTGGACCCAAAAGACAATATTGATTTGTTCGTTTGTTTTTCATCTTCAATTCACTTCATCAGCGTTTATATCTGGAATTTTTTTTTTTTTGCTTAATTTTTTTTCTGATCCCACTGGTCCCATATATGTGAAACTGTGTGTACGTTTTACAGAAGAATTTGACTCTATTTCCTATTTTTTGTTTTTCGCTAAATTTTGGCACATTTTTTTTTGTCTCAGGTTTTTTCTGCTGTTCAAATATATTTTCGATTTGTTTCGTTTTTGAATGAGAAAGAAAAAGTAGTGTTGATCTTTTTCAATTATTTGGTTTTAATGAATTATCGAATTTATTAATAAATTTTTTTTAAATAGAACTTTTGTATTGAAAACAATCAATCATTTTGTTTACATTAATATAAAAACAGTAAAAAATAATGGTAAACGAATCGTTGTAATTTTTTTGTTTTTTTTTGTTTTAGTGATTAGTAATAATAATCAATCATCAATAAAATAATGATTAAACAAATTAAACAATTTTTAATTATTATCATTATGATTTCAAATGTAATGAATAGAAGAATTTCGATTACAAAACAAATAAAAAATTTTAATTGGTTTCCAAGCACATATGATTCATGTCAATTTTCATCATCATCATCATTATCATCCTGTAAAGATTCACGTATGAATTGTGAAACAATTTTGAAAAATAATTTAGAAAAAACTATTGGCATATCGATTGTTGATGATCGAATATATCGATTTATCTATGATAAAGATATAATTGTTATTGTTAATGATTTTTATGATCAAATTTCAAATAAATATCGTCATCATGAACATTTATATCTGGATGGTGGACAAATAATTCATATGAAAAATATTCAACAACTAATGATTGAACATAAAATTTATCGATGTTATATTAGATTAATTGAAAATGGATTAACATTACCGAATATTGTTATGTATCAACGAATCGATACAAAAACTCAAAAAATTGTTTATAATTTTGATTTATATTTTATTACTACAAGAAAATGTTATTATCATTTAAGTTTGGAAACGTTTGCTGGTGATAGTTGTACAACGATGAAAATTGAAACATTTAATGTGAAAACCATATCAAAAGCATTTCATTATAATCTAATTAAGTTTATAAAAGATTCATATATATTTCTAATTGATAATAATTCGAATAAACATGGCCAAACATTTAGAATAATTTTTCATCCATCACAATCATTATTTGAAGTTTATTCAATGGATCAAACGATTGATATGTTTTTTTGGTGTTTTGTTTATGAAAGAAAAATTGACAAATTAGTATTAAGGACAATATCATATGAACAATTTGCAAATAATGATGATAATTTATGTAAACATAAAGTTGATCCATTCGAATATCAAATAACATATGGATTTGGTTTAAATAATAATATTTATTTAATATCAAATTCTTTAAGTAAAATTGCCATTATAGATGCATTAGCTTTATCAAAATTGGATCATACTTTTTCAATTAAATTTTTTATGTTTAAAGATTTTTTTCTTTGTCAATGGCAAGAAATAATAATGACACAAATTGAATGGATTATTGGTACATCAGATAATGTTCAACAATCAAAAAAGAAACAAATCGAATGTAGAACATTTATCAAACAAACATTCAAACAAACAATTGGTATTTCATTGATTAATAATAATTTATATATTTCAACAAGTAAAAATGTAAATCAAATAATTATATTTGAAAATGTTATCGAAAATGATGATGATAGTATTATACTTGGAAAATATGGTTATTTATCGAAAATAACCAATACTGGTTTCGGAAATGTATGGAAACAAATGTCATGTACAAAAAATTTGTATTATGAAAATCCTGATCATGATACAAATGATGATAATTATGTTCATCCATTCTCATTGTCAATGTTGAATACAACATTGAAATGTAGTTCTGAATCCAAACAATTTTATTCCGGTTTATTATATGGTGAAATATTTGGTTATTCAATACAATTATATTGGCAAACAACAATCAAAACACAGCCATGTACAATTATTGAAATACATTATACAAATATGGACAATAATAATCCTGATCAACAACAGAATAATTATCATTTTATTGAAATTACTGGACAAAATGAATTCTATAAATTAATAATGTTAGAAGAAAATGAACAACAAGTGTATGTATGGCGTAGAAAACCTGACCATAAATATGTTGATTATATTGGTCAATTATGTTGGTCATCAAATGATCGTATTCGTATTGTTTACAATTACAAACATGATGAATGTCAAAATACCATAGAATTATCAATGAAAATTTCATATGGATTTATTGGTAAAATTAATAAACTATATCTAGTATCATTATCAAATAATGAAATATTGATTATTGATGGAGATTTATTACAAAATGTAATTTATGATAAATGGTATTCAATACGTACTAAAAGTATTGAGCAATTTTTTCAGTGTCAACCATCAGGGAAACCATCGGAAACAGTGACAACATCAAGATCACAGAGAGAAAGAACAACACCAAGATCACAGAGAGAAAAAACAACATCGAGACGACAGCGAGAAAAGACAACACATAAAGAAGATACAATTACATCAAATCCATCTTTTACAATTACTACCGAAGATCATGAATTGACTCATGATTCAAAACATCAGGAAAAAGGTAAATCATCATTATTTTGGATTTTATTGGCATTCATATTGTTGATCATTGGCTTTCTTTGTTTCACAATGTTACCATCAAAACATCATCGAAAACATCATCATCATAATCATCATCATGTTCATAAACATAAACGTGGTCCTAATGATAAAAAACATTATCCAATAAAAATAATACCAAACAACAATCCCAAACGAAAACAAAATCGAAATCGTCGCCAAGAACGTTATCGAAAGTTGAATTTTGTATCATTAGAAAGACGTGGCTGAACAAATTAATAATGACATATTTCTTAACATATTACATAAATTGAACAATAAAATATTTTCATTATTAAAAACATTTTTTGTTTGATCAGAAAAAAACATGAAAAAATATAATTCAATTTGTGAGTTTGATCCAAAGGATTAATGAGAATAATTTTTGAAATGAATAAATATTGAATTATGATGATGAACAAAATAATCGATTGTACACGATTTTCATTAGTATTCACTCATTTTGGTGTATACACAGGAAATTTTATTCTTTCATTTTTTTTCCACTTGAAAACTGTTTTCAACACCTTTTTATTATGGCAAGGCAAAAAAAACAAAAAAATAATTATTATTGTTTGGGTTGGTCGTTTGATCGATAAATTTATCAAGCACGGTAACTTGGACGAAAACTCGTCCCTCAAACTCGATAAACAATTGAAATGATCAAAAGACTGAATTGATTCCAGTGAGAGAGAAAGGAAAAGCAAAAAAAAAAAATCAATTTTTACTCATTATTTGATGATGGGAGTGATTTTTTTCCCATACTTCACTTACTGAGGATTGGGGCTAAATACTTCGATGGATGAATGGATGGAAAAATAAAGTATAGATCCGAATGAGTTTTGCATAAATAAATATCCTGTGTTTGTATTTGTGTTCATCACGTATTATTATCATCATCATCAGGACACACCATTATCATCATTTTGACAAACTAAAAACTAAACAAAAAAAAAATTCATTGATGACAATGTTGGCAATTTAATTAACGCTTTTTTTCAGAATTTTTATTATTCTTTTTACATCATCATTATCGCTTCATTTCTTTCGTTCGTTCATTCATTTTTATTTTCCCAATATCCTGGGTGCGAGCTACATCATTACTATTTGGCATTGACAAAATTTTTTTTTCCATTTCGACAATCCACAATTTTATTCATTCATTTTTTCTCCATTCACAATTAATTCATTCGATTCATCGATAATAATAATAACTTTATTTATGCACACTGCAAGATGCACTTGTGCAAAAAAAAAATTTTGAAATGAAAAGATTCGATTCATCGATGATGATGATAATGTGTTGTTGAATTGAGTTAGAGGATGAGTTTTTTTTGTTTTCCAATCATTTCATTTCATATTTGTTTACCTTTTGAATTGGTTAAATTGATAGAATTTCATATGACAAACAAAGAAAATAAAATTCTATTAATTATTTTGCATTCTGTCACTAATCATAACCATATGTTTATCCCATTATCATGGATATTTGATGTTTGCTTGAAAAAACCGAGGAATCAAATATCAAATATCAAGTTTTTTATTCAAAAAAAAGGATTATTTCACTTCGGCGATGATGATGATGATTGAAAGGTGATGAAATTTAATTTGAATTTTTTTTCCTTCTTTTCACCACTTTATCTTTCATCACATTTTTTTTGATTCGGAAAAAAAATTGAATTAAAAATCATCAGAAACAACAGAAAAAAAATGATAAAATGGAAAATGATAAGAGTGAAAAAGAATCGTCTTTTTTCATATATAATCTTTCACTATGATTTCTTAGCATCTTACATTCAAAAATACCTTTCTCTTACTCGAAACAAAACACACAAAAAAAACTTGTTATCATGTTGCATTGATTTTATTATCTATGAAAAGGTTGAAAGGTTCGTTTCTTTGTATCAACAGAGAATGATAACCAAGGAATACAAAAAAAAAAGATTTATAAAAATATTCATTTCAATTTTTCCGAAGAAAAAAAAACCAGATATGACATACTAGAAAGAAGCGAATTTCTTTTCGCTATTTACCATCGTCATGTTTGAATTTATAAGCAACAACAAGAAAAAAAGTTCCGGTAAAAGTTTTTCGTCATCGTTGTTGTTGTTGTTCAGATAAATAATTTATTTCCTGATTTCATTACGATTTCTATCTATTTTTGGCTTGTTTTTGTTGTTTTCATTTTTCATTTTTATTTTGAAAAAAAATTCCAAGCACATCATCATCATCATCTTATATTTCTAGGTAGAATTTGAGAAAAAAATTTCATTTTTTTTCCTCTTCGAAGTTGACCTTTCCAATGATAGTAATTCAAAAAGTAAGGAAAAAAAACCTGAAAATCAAATCTTATTGAATCCATATTGAATGTTTCTATTTTCATTGAATCTCCGTTATATAATCCATCGTCGTCATAAAAATCAATAAGTTTTTTTTCTGTTTTCAACTTGATCCATGTTCATTCAATTCAGCGATTTAATATGATTGATTGAAACATAATCATCATCATCATCAACAGCAACAACATATAATTCGTTTGTCAATTTCATAGAATGAAAGAAAAAAAAATTGATCGGTTATCGTTATTCTATGACAGGGGAATAACGAATCCAGGCAAAAAAAAATGACAATTCAATAAAGAAGCTTAAAGAATTTTTGGCAAAATAAAAAATTGAATCAATTCGAGAGAATCGAGAAAAGAAATTCTTGACTTTTCTACTTTTCTTTCAAGTTTTTTCGTTTTTTTTTCTTCATCATCTATCAAAATGAACAACAAGGTTCGATCGTTCGGTTTCAATCGAGTAAAATAACATTTTTTTTTTGTTGTTTTCTTTTCCTTCTTTAATCGAATGATGAAAACAAAGAACCGAGAGAGAGAGAGAGAGAGAGAGAGAGAGAAAGAGAGAGGGAAAAAAAGAAATAATACATCGATCTGTCAGCACAACTTAATTTCATCGATATTTACTTTTTTTTAAACACATACACCCAAGTATGTTACATTATAAGATGAATTATATAATCAAAAAAAAAACGAAGTCAATAAACAGAATGAGAAAAAGAGAGAAAGAAAAATCACTTTCATCTGGTATCCGTTTGTATAGTGTGAATGAATGAATGAATGAATGTGATTGTCAATGATTTATTGATTTCAATCGAAATTTTATATATTTTTCATTTTGCCTTTTTTAATGAACATTATTCGATTCAGAAATTGTTTCTTGATTCATATTGATTTTTTTTTATTCCTCTTCTTTTGTTGTTGTTGTTGTTGTTGTTTTCGATCATTTTGGGTGTTTGTTTGTTATAATTATAGCAATTCTGATTGTTGTTGAAATGAAAATGACAATGGGAAAAAGAAAAAGTAAAATTTGTCCACAAAATTGTTATGTTTGTATGATATTTTAAGCCCGAAAGTGTTTGTTTGTTTTTTATCCCAATGAATTGTTATCGATAATGTTTCATTTCATTTGGATTCTGTTTTTTTATTTTCATGTTTTTTTTTTGGTATTTGTTTGTTCATTAAAACTGAATGTAGTTTTTTTTACTATAATTGAAAACTAAATTTGTTTCGATCCAAAATTGTTCTGTCTGTGTCGTTGTTAATGATGATGATGTTTGAAAGTTTTTTTTTGTTTTGTTTAGTTTTTCTTACCGAGTTTCCAAAAAAACAAAAAACGAACAAAACCAATAATGAAAATTCTTGAAATAAAAAAAAAGTTCTAACAAATCTACAAATTCTCTTGTATAAATGTGTTATTTTTCATTATTTTGTAATACTGCTATCACTTGAAAAATACTTGATATAATTTTATTTGTTGGTTTAATTTTTTTCGTTTATGTTTGATTCTCACTGTATGATGATTGTTTGTTTACTTGTGATCCGGCAATCGTTTATTTTATCCAATGTTTTTTTTACGATTGTCGATTGTGAAACAAAACAAAAAAAAAGTTGAATTCAAACCCTGAAGCTTGAAGATAAAAAAAAATAATGCAAAAATAGTGAATAAACGAATATTTAGATAAAGCAGAAAAAGCCGAATGATATTATCATTGAATCGGATGTGCGTAATATTTTTTTTCTTCTTCATCTTCTTCCATCTGCCTCATCATTTTCATCAAATTCTCTCTCTCTCTCTCTCATATAGATTATATATAGAGATATCAAAATTTGTTTTTTTCCCTTTTTTTATTTGCATTCTCTCATAAACTTACAAACACAACACACTAAAAATAGCGAAGAGAGAGAGAGAAAGAAAAAAAGTCCAAAGAGAATTGATGATCATTAATTCATTTCGGCATAAAATTGAGATTCCTAAATTTCTAGTGAGTAGTGTAGCATCTGTTTCGTATATGTTTCAGGGATTTTTTGTATGTTTAATCGAGTGTATTCACACACACACACACAAACAAACAAACAAACAAGCTCAATAATTCAATTCAAATTTTTTGGGGTTCTGTTCATGTTTTCTTGAATTTTTTCTCTGTTTCATTTGATCATTATTCAAGTAAATTTTCGAAACAACTATAGTTTATTAAAAAAAATGAATTGAATTGAATTGAGAAATCTTTATTCGAATTGTTTAAAGTTTTTTTGTTGTTGTTTGATTTTGATAATTTTTCCTATGAAATAATCATCAAATGTCAAATGCTATATTTGAATCAAAGATATTTATGACATCTGGTTTTATTATTCTGGCTGGTTGAATGATGATGATGATGAGTGGTCGAAAGTTGAAAAACTCTTGAAAATTCTTCTTTTGAAAAAGAGAAGTAAAAGTGAAATTAAATTGGATAAAAAATTTTGTTGTTGCTGTTTTTTTTTCACTTTAATTTCGGATCTAGTGTTAATAAAACAATTTTTCTTTTAAATTCGGTTACTCAATCGTTTTATTTAATCATCCAATTGCTTTGTATGATGATGATGATGATGAAATTGTGTGTGTGATTGCCTAACTTTCTTCAGGTATTTTTTTGTTCAACTTTTAACATTAGAGAATTTCCAATGAACAAAAAAAAAGTATTAAAGACTTTGATGTCAATATATATTTCAAATGACAAATAAGAATGGTCAGCCACCTATAGATAAGTTTTCAATTTTGGATCATGAACAATATATAATGGACATTAATAAATTGATTGATTGAATCAAAAATAAAAGTAAAAATTATTTGATGATGTTGTTGTTGTTGAAATCAAACAACAACAACAACAATAATAACGAGAATAGATTGGAAATTATTGAATTTTTTTCTTTTCTTTGCACAATTCCAATTGGATCTGTTCAATA